TCTACATAGTGAGTTCCAGGACAGCTGGGGCTACAGGGAGACCCCTGTCTCCAAAAGACCCCCCCCCCCAAAAAAAAAAGATGATCAACAAACCTTTGTTGTAAGTTCTTTGCCGGTTAGAAGCCCTTTACTAGCTCTTTATCCTCAAACTATGTGACTTGCCAGGTTCCTAATCTCTAACAAGTTACAACTACTACTTAAAATTGTGAGGATTAAATTAATCAGTACAAGTTGAATGCTTAGAATAGTGCATGCCACATACATAGCAATGCTTAATTGTTAGCATTGGTATTTATTATTTATTTTTTGCTTTTATGCCACATACATAGCGATGCTTAATTGTTAGCATTGGTATTTATTATTTAATTTGTTGCTTTTGAGACATGGTCTTCTGTAGCCCACGCTGACTTTCAACTTGCTATGTAGTCAAGGATGACCTTGAATTTCTGATCTTCGTGCCTCTACCTCCTGAGTGCCAGGATTACAGGTGTGTTTCATTATATCCACTTTTTTGTTTTGTTTTGTTTTGGCTTTTTTGAGATAGGATCTCCCTGTAGCCACAGCTGGTCTGGAACTCACTATGTAGACCAAGCTGACCTTGATCTCACAGAGGTCTGCCTGCCTCTGCCTCTAGAGTGCTGGAATTAGAGGTATGTACCACCACACCTGGTCATCATACCCACTTTAAAATTTATTTATTTCTTTGTATTTTATGTGTGTGAGTGTTTTGCCTACATGTACGTAAGTATACCAGTGTCATTCAATGCCTGTGGAGACCAGAAGAGAGCATTGGATCCCTTGGAACTGGAGTGATAGGTGGTTGTTAGCTGCAGTGTGCATGCTGGGAACCAAACCAGAGTCCTCTACAAGAGCAGTCAGTGCTCTTAACCACCGAACCATCTCTCCAGCCCCTATCATATGCACTTTTTTTTTTTTTTTTTTTTTGAGACAGGGTCTCCCTGTAGCCCCAGCTGTCCTGGAACTCACTATGTAGACTAGGCTGGCCTTGAACTCACAGAGATCTGCCTGCCTCTGCTACCACGCCCGGCCTCATACCCACTTTTATATGGTGTTGGGATTGATCACAGGGCTTTGTGCATGCTAGACAAGCACTGTACCAATCAAATTACGCCCCTAACTTAGTTATTAAATTTTGTTTTGTTTTGTCTTTGAGACAAGGTCTTGTCATGTATTCCATACTTGCCTAGAACTTTCTTTAGAGCTCAGGCAGGCCTAAAACTCAAACTCACCAGCCTCCTGCCTTAGTTTCCCTTTGTACTGGGATTATAGGCCTACGCCATCATGTCTGACTTTGGCAATTGTTATTAAGTACATTTTGAGGTAGATATTAAAGGCTGGATGGGATTCAGGAGGCAAAGACAATGACATTGCGGTGTCTTTCATGACACATGGTGCTGATTCTATGAGTAGGGGGAGTGACTGAGAACAAGTTCTGACACGAAGGACAAAGAGGGCAGTGAGGAACCAGATTAGGGTAGTGGGAGAGGTGGGAAAGGGCTCAGGTGGGGACTACATTGGATGCTCAGGTAAGAGTTTGGACCTGATCCTATGGAAGTACCAAACAGCATTTTTTTAGTGTAGGGACTCTCTTAATCCAACTGTTCTTTCAGAAGATTAGTGTGGAAAGGGCATGTAAGTATAACTAAAGAGAAGAGAGCCCTGAGAGCCCCTGTGGAGTAGCACATAGTCCTGAGCAGAAACGACAGACTGTATTGGATGGTGGATGTAGAAAAGAAACATAGAGGGGAGTGTGTATAGAAGAAAGATTTCACCACAAGGCGACAGATAATTGGACTAGATCCAACTTAGTAAAATTTCCAAACAAAGTAAACCTGGCTTGAAAAAGTAAAGGCAGTGAAAACCCATTTAACTTGTTAGAATTTATTTGTAAATCTGCTAGAGTTTAAAAATACTTGTGCTTTTTAAATAGCTTCCTGTTTTCATTAAATTTTTAAAACTTTGTCGTAGGATTTGAGACTTTTATATGTGCTATTTTTTCTATTTCTTTTTTATTTTTTGTTATTTTGGATTTTTGAGCCAGAATCCTATTAGGTAGCCTAGGCTGGTGTGGAGCGTGCTGTGTGTAATGAATGAATGACTATAGAAGTCACTTTTCTTTGCTGCCAGCATGGCCATATGGCTCACAAAGCTGTTGTCGCAGTGGATCATCTTGACACTTCAGTTAATGCCCAGATGCCTTTCTTTCTTAGCATTTGACATTTCAGAATAAACATCAAAATCTCTCTGGGAAATTCTTTTTATATCTCAGAAATATCCCTCCCTGCATTTCTTTTTTTCTTAGCAGATTGTTCTTGAAATTTATTTAATTTTATTTCAAGTGTATGAATGTTTGTCTGTGTGTAATGTATCATATGCATGATTAGAGCTCATGGAGGATAGAAGAAGGCATCAGATCCCCTGGAACTGGAGTGAACAGATGGTTATGAGCCACCCTGTGAGTGCCGGGAACTGAACATGGGGCCTCTGCAAGAATAGCAAGTGCTCTAAAGTGCCGACCATCTCCCCAGCCTCTTCTCCCTGTCTTTTTTTGTTTGCCTTCTGATACAGGGTTTTGCTCTGTGGCCCAGATATGTCTCAAACCTGTGATCTCAACATGCTAAGGTTACATGAATGAGTCACCACACCCAGTCTCCACCATTTTTCTTGATAAATGGTTGGGTAAGAGCCATTATTAAGTCTGAATATTTCTGTTGAAGATAGGAGTCCAGGTATTGGGCTTCATATCCTTGATGGCTTTGTGAGAGCCAATTGGTTTGTACTTTTAAACATTGTTGAATATTAGTATGGAGCACAGCAACCGTGGTGTCTCAGAGCTGCCCCCACAGGTTTAAGCCCTCCATATGTCTCACCCTGATGGTTTATCTTGATGTACGCTGCATAATACATCTTATACTTTATAGATGACTATTAATCATCCTGTTTAATTTGTAGATTCACCACAGGAATCCCATTAGATGTTTTTGAGAGTAGATCATTCTATGAAATTGAGGTAGAAGTTAAAATCTTTTTATATCTGTGGATATTTTTCTTCATCAGTGATTTGAAGATCAAGGTTGGGAGCAGGCACATCAGTGCTCACAAGTTTGTTCTGGCGGCCCGCAGTGACAACTGGAGTCTAGCCAACTTATCTTCCACTGAGGAACTGGACTTGTCAGGTGAGTCTCTGACTCATCGGGGATACAAAATTAGCACAAGAACTCTTGTCAGAAAATATTACTTTGAAATATTTGTGATTTAATAAAAATAAACTGCTTTACTTAATTCATGGAGACATGAACTATTGAAATAATACCTTTCCCTGAGTTGTTCTTTCTGGATACTTATGTTTACTCCCTGAATGACAAATCATAAGTATTTAAGTATTTATAATGTTCTTATGATTTATGAAATTAAAATGTCTCCATAAGCCTCTTTCTTTATGTGTGTGGTATACGTATGTGTTCTTTTAGGTGTGTACATGTGCAGATGTGTACATACATGTGGCATGTGGAGGATGATGCCAGGTATCTTCCTCAGTCACTCTCCACCTTATTTATTTACTTATTTATTTTGATTGATTGATTGATTGATTGATTGATTGATTGATTGAGAGAGAGAGACATGGTCTCACTATGTATCCCTGACTGGCATGGAACTTGCTATATACACCAGTCTGGCCTTGAACTCAGATCTGCTTGCTTCTGCCTCCTGAGTACTAGGATTAGAGACATGGGCCAATATAACCAGCCACTTTCACCTCATTTTTTTTTTTTTTTTTTTTGAGACAGGGTTAAATCTGAACGAATCTGTTTGGCTAGGCTGGCTAGCCAGTAACCTTCAGGTATCCTCATGCCTCCACCCTCCCAACCCCAACTCTGTTCCCATCCTTTGCAGTGCTTCAGTTACAGACACCCCCTGTCCAGCTCTTAGATGGGTGCTGGGGGTCTTAACTCATGTTCTCATACTTTTACAACAGGCAGTTAGTCACTGAGCCATCTCTCCAGCCCCTTCAGGATTTTTAAAAAGAATTATTTTTGTTATTTATATTTATGTGTATGTGTCTGTGCGAGTGAATGCTATGTGTGTGCCTGAAGAGGCCAGAAGAATTTGTAGGATCCCTTGGAGTTATAGGCATTTGGGAGCTGCCTAATAAGGGTACTGGTGGGAACCAAACTCAAGAGTCTCTGCAAGAGACTATGTACTCTTAACCCACTGGACTTTCTCCAGCCCCAAGGTTTTGTAAGATGACAGATATTTGTTTCACTATAGTAATTTTTTTTTTTTTTTTTTTTTTTTGTCTTTTTGAGACAGGGTCTCCCTGTAGCCTCAGCTGGCCTGGAACTCACTATGTAGACCAGGCTGGCCTTGAACTCACAGAGATCCGCCTGCCTCTGCCTCCCAAGTGCTGGGATTAAATGCGTGCACCACCACACCAGGCTCACTATAGTAATTTTTTAAAGATTTATTTTATTTTTAATTATGTCTATGTATATGTGTGGGTATTTGCACGTGTGTGGGGTGCTCAAGGTGGCTAGAAGCATCAGATCTCCCTGAGGCTGTTGTGAATTGCCTGATGTGGGTGTTTGCTGCTAACCGCGACTCCGACCAGCAGAGTCGAGGCAAGGACAAAACGGATACCAAGGCAGGGTTCAAGCTTCTACCAACTTTATTGTGCAGCACAATCCTTTATATCTTCCCCAAGGACCAATCACAACCATGCACGCACGCAGCATATAGCAGTGGAGACAATTCATTGGTCCACACAGTCAGACCACTCTCGAGAATGTCATAGATCAGGCAGGCGGCGCATGATCAGGCGCATTGCGCTTGCGCGTTCTGGAGTAACAAGCGAGGGTAGCGAGGCTTGGCGGTCAGCCAGGGCGCCATCTTTGGCCGACTCGGCCACGCCCGCTTCCCACATCTCCCCCTTTTTGTTTTATTAAAGGTATCAGGATCGTGCCTGCCTTAGGTTGCCCCCATCCATAGAACATCCTTAACCGTCATCAACTGTTCAGCAGCATCGGCTGGCAGTCT